AGTCCATTAAGATAAGAATAATAACTGGGGGGCTGGAGAGATGGCTCAGTGGTTGAGAGCATTGCCTGCTCTTCCAAAGGTCCTGAGTTCAATTCCCGGCAACCACATGGTGGCTCACAACCATCTGTAAAGAGGTCTGGTGCCCTCTTCTGGCTGCAGACATGCACACAGACAAAATAGTGTATACCTAATAAATAAATAAATAAATATTTAAAAAAAAAGAATAATAACTGAAGCCTACATCCACACATGCGCTTTACCCAAAAACTGTCCCAGTGGTTTCCTCTTTTTTCCTGCATCACTGCAGTAAGTGCCTTCCTCTCAGACAGTAGCATCTCAATCTAGTCATAGTCAGTATTGATGGAGGAAGGTCATTAGTTAATTATAATAAAGAAACTGCTTGGCCCTCATAAGTTAAAACATAAGTGGGAGAATTAAACAGAACAGAATGCTGGGAGGAAGAGGAAGTGAGGTAAGACGCCTCAGACAGACTCCATAGCTCCTCTCAGAGCCAGATGCGCAATGAAGCTCTGACCCAGGATGGATGTAGGCTAGAATCTTCCCGGTAAGCGCACCTTGGGGTGCTGCACACATTATTAGAAATGGGCTAGTCCAGGTGCGAGAGTTAGCCAAGAAGAGGCTAGATATAATGGGCCAAGCAGTGTTTAAAAGAATACAATTTGTGTGTTGTTATTTCGGGGTATAAACTAGCCAGGTGACCAGGAGCTGGGGCGGCAGGAATGCAACCCGCAGCTCCCACAACAGAATGGCACCCAACGTGGGTCTCGAACCCACAACCCTGAGATTAAGAGTCTCATGCTCTAATCCCAGGGTCGTGGGTTCGAGCCCCACGTTGGGTGCCAGATGAAGGCGTAAGTCACAAAACAATCCCACACCAGTTTGGAATTATGATTAATAGGGTGGTATTTATTTAAAGGGGAAAAAACTTACAGATAACCATCCCAGACAACAGCCCTCTGCGCAATCAGGAAGGAGTCTAGTCACCAGAAACAGAGCAGGAAGCGAAGAGAGTGAGAAGGGAAGTAGTCGCTTTTTTAAAGGGAGAGAGACCACGCCCCAATGGGCTGGTATCTCAGCGGCTATAGGCTGGAGGAGCGGAAGGACCTCCCGCAACACAGTATGAAGAACCATGATGCGCATCTTCATTCACCATCTTACGTAATTATGGTAACTAAGTTTGTTTCAGTAAATGATGTCTATGGATAGCAGTATCATACATAAGTCCTGATTCTAAAATAAACCTAAGGCTGGGTGTAGTGGTGCACTCAGAGGCAGAGGCAGGCGGATCTCTGTAAGTCTGAGGCAAGCCTGGTCTACAGAGTGAGTTTCAGGATAGCCAGGGCTACATAGAGAAACCCTGTCTCACAAAAAAACCAAAATAAATAAAATAACCATAAGACTCAAAACTAAGACCCTTTAGAGCAGAGGTCAGACTATAGTGTTTACAACCACATAGCTCATTCAATTAACTGAGACAAATGACATTCTTCCAGGCCAGAAAGCATCTACTGACTGACCTCTGGACAACCAAATACCACATCTATAAATGTCAAGAATATTATTATAAATAAATATAATTTACATATATAATGCATAGTACTGATAATCGTAAGTATAATAATGAGGAGGAAGGGGATTTGGTTTTGGGAAATCCACCCAAAGGAAGTGATAGTTTAGCAGATTCCTGATGGATAAATAAGATTTAGCAGCCGAATAGTAGTGGTACACCCTTAATCCCAGCCCTCAGGAGGCAGAGACAGGTGGATCTCTGTGAGTTCAAAGCCAGCCTGGTCTACAAAGTGAGTTCCATGACATCCAGGGCTACTATTACACAGAGAAACCCTGTTTTGAAAAAAAGATTTAGCTACATATTAAGTGTTGGAAGAAACAAGGATGTGCAAGCTTATTAGCCAGGGTTCCTATTTTCAAAACACCATGACCAAAAGAAAGTTGGGGAGGAAAGGGTTTATTTCACTTTATAGCTTATAGTCAGTTCATCACTGAAGAAGTCAGGGTAGGAACTCAAGGCAAAAACTTGGAGGCAGGAACTGAAGCAAAGACAATCACTGCTCACTGGTTTGCTCCTCATGGTTTTCTTAGCCTGCATGAACAACTCAGGACCATCGGCTGAGGGGTGTCACTATTCACAATGGCATGGGCCCACCCACACCAATCATTAATTAAGAAAATGCACCACAGGCTTGCTTCCAGGCCAATATTTTTGGTGGCATTCTTTCAGCTGAGGTCCCCTCTTCTCAAGCTTGTGTCAAGTTGGAGAAAAACTAGCCAACTAGTGATGCATAAGAGGTTGGGGATTCTAGGACATGCTGGTGTCTGGGTTCAGAAGGTAATAAGTAAGAGTTAGAACAATATAATTAATGTAATTAATAATATCAAAAAGAATAAGAAAAGAGCAAGTAAGCAGGACGTGATGACGCATGACTTTAATCCCAGCACTCAGGATGCAGAGGCAGGCAGGTCTCTGAGTTACGGGCCAGAGTGGTCTACAGAGTGAGCCAGGGTTACATAGTGAGACCCTGTCTGAAAAAAGAAAACAATAAAGAAAAACAAAGTATCATTTCAATTAATGCAAAAAATTGGCAACTTTTAACATATGGTTTTAAAGAGAAGGGGAGAAGTCTCACTTAGCCAGGAATAGATACCAACTTCTTAACATGTTAAAGACATCTATAAAAACCCACAGCAAACAATATACTTAAGGATAAAGCTGAAAATGTTTTGCCATAAGATTAAGAACAAGACAATAATATCTTTTCTCAACATGTGTGTTTAACATAGCACTGAAAGCTATAACCAATGTGATAATACAGTGAAAGGCACAGAGAGTTAAAAAGAAGAAACTATCTTCACAGACAATCCGATCACGTTTCTTAAAACTAAGAAATGCAAAAAGCCAAAAGGAATAAGAAAAAGTGTTTTCAATGAGTTGTGTCAATTCATAGACTCTGTCACAATCCTTTATCTGAGAGACAGAAACCATCCTGTGTGTCTATGACACTGCCTAGGGAGGCACTTTGTAAAGTTTGCTGTGATGTCTTTTCCAGTGTTTTTGACATTCATAGACCTCCTGGATTCTCTGAGAATATTTAAGTGTAGGTGTTCTAGGTCTCCACAGACTCGCTGGCTTGCTGGATTTAATCTTGGGGGAACTTTCAAATGATGTGGGTGCCTTGAGTATGAAGACTTTCACAACTCTTGTTGAGCTTAACTCAGTATTCTGGGTAATAAACAATCAATAGCCACCGATGTCTCACTGAGCAAGTGGCCTCTGAGTTCACTCTCCAGCCCAAGAAGCATATGGGAATTGGGACAAGAAGTAAGAATACAAAGTGTCTATTTATTAAGAGAAAGTAAGAAAGAACTCCCAAGAGCACAAGTGGCAACAATGGGAGAATAACTTTTTAACTCCAGCTTGTCTGTAATTTGTGGTAATCCTCCTCTTCAGCCTCCTGAGTACTGGGATTACAGATGCACACCACCTTATTTGCTACTTTATTTAAATAAATATTTAACCTTATAGTTCAGTTTGAGGTCAGCCTGGACTATATACACAGTGAATTCTATGCCAACCTGGGCTATAGAACTTAACTGCATCTCAAAACCAAACCCAAACCAAACCAGACAGACAGACAGGAATCAATTTGTTATTCCTACAAACCTGTGTAACATTTCTAGATGAAACTAAAATGTTCTAAAATCATACAGCTAAACTTTTGTTCATATCTAGCGATACCTCTTCAGGGTCTTTATGGGCAGAAGAAGCACACCTTCCCCTAGCTCCTCCTACCCTTGCACCGCAGACACAGCTCTCTCTGCTGTGCTGACTCAGAGACAGGGCCCACTCTGACTGAGTCACTTTGTCCTAATCTATCTCAGGAGAAACTTCCTAAATGTCACACCAACTAGAATGGCTGAAATTCAAAGGTTCAAAAAAAAATGTAGAGAAACCAGAACATTTTAATGAGGCTGATGGGAATAAAAAAGTAGAAGAGTGACTTTGGGAGACAGATTAGCATCCTCAAATGACTAAATGAGTTATCATGTGATGTTGCAATTTGACCTCCCTGTCCCATACCAAAGAAATTAAGACATGCTCAAACAGAATCTTTTACATGAATGTCCATAAACAGCATTATTTATAGTTAAATGGTATATAATGACAAATGGAATTTTTTAGCTACAAATCATCTTTAGCTATCTACATACAGAGTTCAAGGTTAGTCTGGGTTACAGGCGATCCTGCTTAAAAAAAAAACTGTATAAGTTAACCTGAGCAAGTAAGTTCTGCACTAATAACGTGAACTGTCTCCCAACATTAGCACTCGCTGTGCACCTCCTCACAACAGCAGGCTCACACTCACTGCACATGGCCTTTAAGGTAGGTTCACTCTACTGCCTCAGGAAGTCAGGCCCACACTACCCAATGCAAGACCCTCACTACACACTAACTCCCAATGTAAGGCTTTCCTGTCTGCTCCCTGTCAGTGCAGGCCCTCACTGTCCAGTACATATTGATGTCACCTGTCACCCTCACTGTGTTAACACCTCATCCACAGGCTCTCTTCCTAGTGTTCATTCAGTCCCTGAGCAGGAAGGACTATTCTCTGCTCAGACAGGTATGCTGACACACCTTGAGGCCACCTGGCATCTCTTATGGAGGTACCAGGACTCAAACACCTACATGGGGAATGTATGTCTGAGTCAAAGCCATTTGGTCAGTTTGTATTCTTTAGTCATTCTGAAAACAAAGGAATGGAAACTGTATCCTTCAGAATTTTATCTGAAAGTTAACTTAGATCTACTATTTCCAAAGACTCTGCTGGGTAGCCATCAAAGCAACTCTTGGTTGCCTGAATAAATACACAACACAAACTCTTACCAGCAAAATGGAGTCTGGTACAGAATTACTTAACTTTAGAACATAGAAGAGAATATGCCTTAAAAATCAAGCTTCCTACCTCAATGTCAAATACTTCCACAGTACTATCCAGCAGCTTCACTCTGATGTGCAGGTGCTTCTCCTGCGTCCTGGGTGAGAGGGTCTGCTCCGGTTCCAGGGTACTCACTCCAACAGAAGTCTGGCCGCCCAAGCGTGTCCCGGAAGTTGGCAAAGCTCTGTATGTTCCTTCTATCTCCCCCATTCTTCATTAGTTGAAGGAGGAGGAAACACTAAAACAAAAACATACTAAATCACTACATTATTTAGATATTAAAGCAATGTAAAAAAAATTGGGCTCATAAGAACCCACAATATTTTATATTTAACTTCTATAAGTTTTAAATTACATTAAAATAAGGAACAGAAAGTTTTTCTTCATCTATACATATGGTTGTAGCACAAAAATCAATAAAATTACCCCTAGTAATATTTCCAAGGTTCTCTGAACCAGGCACATATATTAACTCAATGGACCTCCCAGAAGCCATCATGAGTGACATCATTACCACTCACCTGGGAGAGGGAGAACACCTATGACTATCTCTCTTCCCAGAACTGCTCAATACCCAGCATGCCTTCCTTCTTCAGCCCAGTCACATGTGCTAACAATTAGGTTCAAGTGCTGGACACTGTCCTTTCTAGTAAAAGTGATCGAAGAACATTAACATGTGACTGGCATTGTCATACTAATCTGAAGCAGCCATGGACCTGTCTTTTTATATTGGCTCAGTGTGCAAAGAAGGCCACCAGGGATGAAGCCAACAAACATGAAAACAGCCAGACTCATCTTTGCCAGCTTCATACTCCTTGTGCTTTCTAGAGCAGAGCAGTTGCACTGGTCATTTGGAAGGAAATCGGAGGTACGGCACCAAACGGCAGTCCAGATGAGGACCTGGTGAATCCACACACCTGCCGCACCCACCTCAAACCCACCATAATACTGGCATCACCGTGCAAGACCATTTAATAGATGACACAAAAGGTCCAAGAGGGCCAGGGTCATTTTCAGTCCTCCTGTGGCACTACAGGAAAAGCCTGTTTATAGGTTGTCAAGTCTAATAGGGTAATATCCTTGCTGTCTTTAACAAAGTGCAAGCTAAGTATCTGCTTGAATCTATAATATTGTTTTTCCTTGTACTAAGGTACTTACTACTTATGGAAATTTTCATTTTTAAATATATTATTTACATTAAAAAATCAACTTAAAGAAAATTAAGGAGTAGGGCTGTGGCCTGGTTATTACAGTGTTTGCCTGGCATGAACAAAGTCCAGAGTTCAATACCCAGCATCACACAAAGCAAGGTGGTGGCAGCACACACCTAATTTCAGCACACAGGAGCAGGAGTTTGGGTCTGAGTTCAAGATCATCCTTGATTACATAGCAAGTTCAAGGCCAGCTTGGTCTATATGGGACCATCTCTTTTAAAAAAAAAAAAAAAAAAGCTAAACAAGCTGGGTATAGGGGTCATGCCTTAAATTTCAGCATGCAGGAGGCAGAGGCAAAAGACACTCTGTGAGTCTGAGACCAGCCTGGTCTACACAGTGAAAACTTACCTTTAAAACAACAAACAACAAAGAGAAAAAGAAAAAGGAAAAATGTTTAACAGTAAAACCAGGATAGCAAAAGATACATGCCCATGTGGTAGAAGTGAGACACAAACACCAGATGTCTAACCAATAAAGAATGCAGTCTGCAAAACTGACTGCACGTCTCTTAAATCACTTTGTGAATGTTTTCTGTTAACTATAGTCTTTTTTTGGGGGGGGGGGTTTCTCTGAACTGTAGTAACCTCTTAAAGAATTTATTTCACTTGGGCTGTAGCTGTAGCTCAGTGGCAGACTATTAGCCCAGCACTAAGAAAACAAAAACCAACAAACTCACTCAATCCCCAGCCCATTCTCTTTTGTGTCAACCACTCCTGCGGGTCCTTCCCTGTTTTCACACATATCTTATCAAGACAAACCAAACAAGGGGTCTTGTAGCCTTTGAACTACATTTGAAAAGCTTCTTCATAATTCACTGCCAACCAATTCCTTCTTAAAACCACATCCCACAAGGATCTTGGTTGAGAAGTGCTGCAAGCTCCCGGTTTATCAAAGAAGGGTAAATCTTTTGGCAAAGTGCAACATATGGGCCAGTGAGCAGGCTCAGCAAGTAAAGGCACATAGCCAAGCCCAATGACCTGGGCTCTACCCCAGGGTTCACATGGTGGAAGGACAGAACTGACTGCAGAAAACTGTTCTCTGGCCTCCACAAATGTACCACATATGTGCACCCACACATATGCACACAAATATTTTAAAAAACAAGTATAATGAGAGAGCAAAATGATGAAGTGGTACATAATTGTACCAAGTTAGTTTTCCACCTCAATTCCTGTATAAAGTGGTTCAGAACAATGAATAATCCAACTACTTACATGTGACACTCAGGTAGCTGTGACCCACTCTCTAGTCTGTACGCCCCTGAATGCAGGGACTAGATTCTCACTCTGTCTGCTAGCTAAGTAGTTACTTAGTACCGTGGCATTAAAGACATTGCACTGTCTCATCAAGCAGTATACTGTATAGACTGTCGTGCGTAAGACTGAAGACCAACCACAGCAGACCAGTACTTAAGAGTGCCCTACTGTTAGTATTAACATGCGTCTATGAAGCTTCAAGAACTACACTCACGGACGTTTTCACTTCACTTTCACAAAATTTTAATGCAAAAGAGACTGTAAATGGAGACTTCTATCTTTAGGGTACGAAACAGTGGCCTCTATGCTCTTCATCTGTTTACATTTATAAAATACTGGAATCATCCAGCGTTCTGCTAAAGTTTGAGCATGAACTGTTCCCAAAGGTCCCAATGTTAAAGGCCTGGCTACCATCTGATGGGCTTTTGAGAAGTGACTGAATTATGAGTGCTCTAACCCTAAGGTGGATTAACCCACCGCCAGGTCCCTAACTGGATGGCGTTATTGCCTTAGGGCCACTTTACTCCACCACACGCTCTCTGCCATGCTGTTCTTTCACTACAAATGGACTCAGAAGCAAAGAGGAAGTGACTGTGGACTAAAACCTGAGACTGATTCAGATAAAGCCCTCTTCCCTGGAGTTGTTGGCTCAGGTGTTTTGTTAGTGATGGGAAAACTGATGAACTTAAGTTAGTTCTCCTGAAACAATGAATGTGTTTCAAAGCCAGTCTTCCCTGAAGGAAGGCTACAACTCTGAAAATACATAGTCAAAATACGTTTTTAGAAGCTATTTACCAAATTTATCTTACTATGTAATTATCACTTGTATTTTCATATGTATCAGTTTAGAGACAGGATTTTATTTATTATATTCCCTGACTCAATCCTCCTCTTGACTCTCACAGGTTGAGCAATGGGTACCTGACACTGGGCTCAGCTTCTATATTAAAAGGGAAAAATTGCTCAGGTTTTCTGTTGTATTTGTTTTTCAAGATAGGGTTTCTGTGTAGCCTTGATTGTACTGGAATCCACTCTGTAGGTCAGGCTGGACTCGAACTCAGAGATCCATCTACTTTTGCCTCCTGATGCTGGGATTAAAGGTGTGTGCCACTATTACCCAGCTTGTATTTGTTGTTAGAAGGTTGCATCCAACCATGCAATGCTAAGAAAATGAACAAAGATAATTAAAGGGCCTAGAAGTATACACTGTGTTGGAAAAAAACAACATTAAATAGAAAATGCAAGGGAAGTTATTGCTAGTACACTCAGAATAAGAGTCCCTCTCTTAAATAGGTCACAGCGTAACTCCTAGGGCAGATAGAATTCACTTTATAAAGCATTAAGCCACACAGAGTGGTGGCATACACATGCATCTAGGAGGCTGAGGCAGGTGGTCAAAAGTTCAAGATCAGCTTTAACAAAAGCTCTTAACCAGTGGGCAATCTCTTTAGCCCAGTCCCTTTATTATTTTTATTTTTTATGTGTATAGGTGTTTTACCTGCATGTATGTCTGAGCACCTCATGAATGCAGTGCCTGAAGAGGCCATAGAGAAGCATCAGATCTCCTGGAACTTAAATTATGGACAGTCATGAGCCACCAAATGGGTGCTGGGAACTGAAGTGATCCTTTTTCAAAAAATATTTATTTATTTCTATGTGTGCTGCATGCCTATAGGAGCCTGTAATGTGGAAAGAAAGCATTGGATCTTCTGGTACTGAAGTTACAGGTGGTTGTGAACATCATGTGGGTGTTGGGAGCTGAACCTGGGTCCTCATGCAAGAGCAGTAAGCTTGCCTGCCTTTCTCCCTCCCCCCCATTACTTATTTTGTATGTGAGTGTTTTGCTTGCATGTATGTCTATGTGCCAAATGCATGCCTGATGTCTGGAGGTCAGAGGATCCTCAAACAAGGTTCCCTGAAACAAGTTATGGACAGTTGTGAGCTGTCATGTGGGTGCTGGCAATCAAACCCAGGTCCTCCGCAAGAACAAATACTCTTAAACACTCTCTCAGAAACAAAACAGATGAAGCTAGAGAGATGACTCAGCAGTTAAGAGCACTTGCTATTCTTGCAGAAAACCTGGGTTGAGTTCCTAGCACTCACATCAAGAGGCTAACAGCCATCCACAGCTCTAGTTCCAGGGAATCTGATACTCTTCTGGCCTCTGAAGTCCAATGCACACACATACAAAACAAATCTTAAAAAAAAAACCTACAAAATTAAGTCATATGTTCACACTGTATGTTTATATTTAGCAGACACTTAACCAGAGTCTTCTTTGAGCCTTGATCTGGTTACCAAGATTTTTGCTCTTCCTGAAGAAAGGCACAGTCTACCGTACACAGTAAGGGAACTAGCTAGAATTCTGGTGGGCAGTGAACATCTGCTTTCATTGATGTAAATTTAACTCTAACCATAGCTGTAACTTTTCATTTAACATTAATTAGCTCATTGGCCATAAGAGCAAAAGAAACAGAAGAACTCGAGGGATATCAAAGCTCTCCTGAACTACACAGCTTACCAGGGAAACCTCTGCAAGCTTACACACCTTCTGAGCCGTGACCTTTGTCTTTCTTTTCATCTGGTTCAAAGAGAGTCATTCACAGAGCTACAGCTGAGACCCAGAGTCCTAACACACTCTTATTCACACTGGTTTGGAAAAGAAATGACCCTGGAGGCGCTCTGCTGCAAATTCAGACAATCCTGTTTGCTTTTCCGCAACGGTGAGTAGTGTGTGTCAACCACTCACTTAACAAGTACTCGTGCTA